TTGTCATAACTGGTTACTTTAAAAATATATATTTTTCCATATTATTTTCTGTAAACTTATTTATGATCCTCATCCCTGATAGCAAAATTTGATTCTAAGAATCTTCTAAGAAGATACGACTCGGAATAATGGAATATTCTTAGAACCTTCCCTTATTGCTAAGAATATTCTTAGGGACTTTTAAAACATTCAATAGATACCCTTTTAATGATGCAAGTAGATTCTTAGAAGCTTCTTAAAACCTTCCTAAAAAGCATCCTAAGAACATTTTAAGAATACGTTTTTTCCATCCAGATCTTTTAGAATTTTTCCTGATTTATCCTCTTTTTGTGACTGTTATTCTTCTCATGTGAAGGATTTTGCTGGGCTGTTGGCTTCTGTAAGTTCTTCTATTGGGAAATCAGCCGAAACATTTTTTAAAATTCCCTTTATGGTAATTAAATTTAAAGGCCCATGGGAAAAAATCGTTTAAAAAAAAGACGATCGTCTGAAGAATATCGTCTATTTTTAAATGATATCGCTTAATTTTTTAAACGATCTTTTGTCTTCAGACGATCGTATACTTTCAAACGAAATCGTTTAATTATTTAAACGATCGTCTTTAATCGTCTAAAATAATAGCCGACCATAAAGACGTTCGTTTAAAGTGATAAACGATACAAAAGGCGATCGTCTAAAATAATAGTCGAAAAAAGACGATCGCGATTTAATTAAAATTTTAAGTTATAACTTAACTGATGAGAAAATATTTTTATTTTGTCATAATTATTAATTAAATTAATTAAAAAAATAATTCTAAAGGCGATACCTACCTACTTCGAATAATAGACAATTCCAAATATTCCAAAGTATATTTGAAATTCTTTATTATAATAGAGAAGAATTTCAAATATATATTTCGTCTGTACAGCCGACTGCCTAACCTACGCAACCGATTGAATCGTTTGAAAGACGATTGGACGAATTCGCGTCTAAAGACGATCGTCTTTAGACGATTTTTCCCCATGGGGGGATAAAAGTTTTCCACTAGGTTAGGTCAGTTCTGTCTATGAAGGAATCGGCTTGATCGGCTGTGGTGAAATCCAAACCTACTTTGTTAAATCCTTTCTTACTAATTTTGTTAAAGCCTCTGATGTTTCTGTTTTTAAGTTCCTTTGCAATGGTCATGCAGTGGGCAGATGAGACGTTATTTCCTTCCGTTTTTCCCTGTATTATTACCGTCAGTGCCGGCGTGAGGCATGTGCAAACGGTGCGGTTGCACCCGGCCCCGCGTTTTATAGGCCCCGCGCGCATCAAGGCATCTTAACGAAATTATTGTACATTTTAGCAACATGGCAAGCTGTAAGCACAGCTTGACAAAATAATATCTGGTCATTGCCAGAGATAATATCTAGATACGATATACGATACCTACTAAAGCTTTGATTTTTTTGATTTGAAGTTGCCTGTATCCGTTTAAAACAATTATTATTACGCCGGGAAAAGAATTTTTAAAAATTAAAATTAATAAAAAAATATTTAAGATCAAGAAGGTATATGCCAAGAACGGCTAGTGGGTTTGGCTATATTGTCAATAGAGAAGGAAGTTGGAAAAGAGCTTCCGCGCGCTTAAGCAGGGAAAAATTATGTGTAATTTTTTATTAAACGTTTATTTCTATATTAATTGAAGGGAAAAGCTGAACCACCCAAGTGCATTTTTAAGTCAAAATTTTCTACAATCCGGTAATACGCTTAAAAAATGTTGACTTGCACTTGGGCGGTTTCAGCTCTAATCCCTTCAATTGGTTTTTCGTTTGATGTTTTATTGGTTTATTGCCGCTAAGCGCTATGTTAATTTCAAGAGTAAATTTTTAGTTCAAGACCCGCATTTTTCTTTTGCACCTGGCCTCTAATAAGCTAACGCCGGCCCTGATTGCCGTATATGGGCCTTTTTGTTTTAGCTGTGTTGTAGTGGTTTATTATTTTTGGTAATGTTTCATTTTGGTTATATACGTATTTAGGTATATTTATATAATTAAGGTACCTTTTAAAATTATACTGCTTTGTTACCTTTACTAAAAAATTGTATTTTATACATGTAAAATATATTGTACGTATTTATAAATATATATATATATATATTAGGGTGATTCATTTCCGCAAAGTTTTTGTTTTCTTCGGTGCTCAAGCAAAATATTAATCTGCATATAGAAAAAAAAATTCTCAACAAGTTTTAGCTCTTAATATAAATTTTAAGTACTTACTATTTAAATTTAAAGTTTTACCGTTTAAAATGCATGTAAAAAATATATATTTTTTTCAAATTTCTAATGCTTACCCACCTTTGACAATATTGCAAATCGGTTTAATACACCTTATGGGGAATTTCACGCTCTTTAAAATTGCTTTTGAGTTTTTTTTTGTAACTCGCATTGGTTCACCAGTAGGAGTCGTCAAAGGACAGTTTTTGAAAAAAATCGTTTTTTTTTTAAATTTTTTCCAACAAACCGCAAAAAGTATGAAGAAAAAAGGGCTGAATCATAAAAAAAAGTTATCCAACCAATATTTAATGAATTTACAGCCATTTTTATAACTGAAAACGTAAGAAATTGATAATTACCAACTCATAATGTTATTTAGATTAATTTTTTCTATTTATTATCATTATATTTCCCTACACTAAGAAGTTTTTTAAAATTATTGATTTCTCACTTATAATGAATATGAAAACAACACATAAATACATAAAAAAACAATAAGAAAATTGTAACGTGGATTTTGCAATTTTTCAACATTTCTGTCATATAGCAAAAAAATATAAATGAAGATTATTTAATTTTTTTAAGCGAAATTTGAAATATGTTACATAACCTTCTGTATATTCTGATTAATGTTTTGTTGTTTTTTTTATGAATTTATGTGTTGTTTTCATATTCATTATGAGTGAGAAATCATAATAATTTTAAAAAAGTTCTTAGTGTAGGGAAATATAATGATAATAAATAGAAAAAATCAATCTAAATAACATTATGGGTTGGTATTTATCAATTACGTTTTCAGTTATAAAAATGGCAGTAAATTCATTAAATATTGGTTGGATAACTTTTTTTTATGAATCAGCCCTTTTTTCTCATACTTTTGGCGATTTGCTCGAAAAAATAAAATAAAACGATTTTTTTCAAAAACTGTCCTTTGACGACTCCTACTGGTGAACCAATGCGAGTTACAAAAAAAAACTCAAAAGCAATTTTAAAGAGCGTGAAATTCCCCATAAGGTGTATTAAACCGATTTGCAATATTGTCAAAGGTGGGTAAGCATTAGAAATTTGAAAAAAAATATATATTTTTTACATGCATTTTAAACGGTAAAACTTTAAATTTAAATAGTAAGTGCTTAAAATTAATATTAAAAGCTCAAACTTGGTGAGAATGTTTTTTCCTATATGCAGATTAATATTTTGCTTGAGCACCGAAAAAAAACAAAAACTTTGCGGAAATTTGCTGTGAAATAAATAAAGAAAATGATATTTGCTTTTAAAAAAATAACATTAAGATAGAAACCCCAACCTGCACACACAGGAAAAACTAATTAGTAGGTAATTGATCAATTGGTCGACTATAGTCATTTTTTATTTGGGGCTCATATATAAGAAAATCTTAAGCCAATATTGCGGGATTGTACCCTATGCGGAATAAGGTGAAAAGTTTTTTTTTTTGGATTTTATATACAGGGTGTCCCGAAATTAGGGGGCCAAACTTAAACAGTGCATTCTTTATAGAAAAATAACACTTTTTTGTTTAATAAACATATATCAAAAAATGCCCCCTAACGGAGCTACGCCCCCTAAATAGGAGCTTAAGAGCATCATTTTTTTAAAACTATTCCTAGAGGGTTGAACATGAAGACCTGAATTTTTGGGACTTTGGTAATTTTGACATTCTGAATCTGGATCTATAATCAAAACTGTTAAAATTTAATCATAGGCGTAACATTTGAGGGGGCAAATTTACAAAAACAGCCCCAACTTTTTGCAGAGTGTGTATTTTAATGTTTTGTTATAAAATTATGAAAATGTATAGTTTTTCACGAAAAATAGGTACTCTTGCTTTGAATCGCTCAGATGCACCATTTTCGAGAAAATTGCAATTTAAATTACTATGCTTAGCATAATTTCTAATATTTTCATTAAAAAGCTTTGGGACAAAAGTGACGTTTGGGTTATTTGCTGACTTTACATTTATTTTTATAGTTTAGTTAGTATTTTTTGGCTCGATTTTTGTTATTTTTTATTAAGGAGCGATTTTCCAAATTTTAACACAAAATTTTAACGAAAATGAGAGGTGTGTGCCTCTGAGCGATTCAAATCAAGACTACCTATTTTTCGTAAAAAACTATAAGTTTTCATAATTTCATAAAAAAAAATTAAAATATTATCTCGGAAAAAAGTTGGGCTATTTTTATAACTCACCCCCCAAATGTTACGCCTATGATTATTTTTTAACAGTTTTGATCTTGGATCTTGATTCAGCATCTAAAAATTACCAAAGTGCCAAAATTTCATTTCTTCATGTTTAACGCTATAATATAATATAGTTTAAAAAAACTATTCTCTCTTAGGGGGCATTTTTTTATACATGTTTATTTAACAAAAAAGTGTTACTTTTCTATGAAGAATGCACTGTTTAAGTTTGGCCCCCTAATTTCGGGACACCCTGTATTTAAAATACGGTAAGTTTTAGAAGAAAAATTGTATACAAAAAATGTAGGGGGCTTACAGTTAATATATCTATTATTGGGTCCATGCTTTAGGACGAAAAATTTAAAAAAAAAGGTTTGTGTTAAGTTGACGTTCAGCCCCAAACGATTTATGCAAAAAATTACTATGTTGAAAAAGTCTTTTTTTGACAGATTGACTGTACTAATTAGAGTGCGTAATTTAAAACGATGAAAACTTTTAACAGTTACTAATATAACTGTTACCAATATTATATTGAATACAAAAATACCAAAATATTATACTAAAATCTTTATATCTTAAAAAGTGATTAAAAATAAATTATACTTCTCATATTACAATATTTAACAATAGAAACTCAAAACCCACATCCCGATCCATATGTATTATCCCAAATGATATACTGTTCAAGATCTTTTGGAGAAACACTAGATCTAACTCTGCTAAGTGCCTTGTGAAAATCTTCCATAATTAAAGGTCGAACTTCTGTAGCTTCAATTTTTTCAATCATTCTCATATCTATGGACCTAATGGGCCACAAGGATGCCTCAGAACATAAATTCCTTATATCCGCCCCTGAATATCCATTAGATTTTTCAGCTATTTCCTCAAAATTTGGTTCCGTTAGTTCGTGCCTCTCTTGGGCAATGAGTTTAGTTACCAATTGAGATCTAGCCTACAATATAATTTTATTTAATAGTCGATTAATACATACATTTCTTTACCATGGGCATGGTTTGACTTTTACCTTATGATCCGGCAATGGAATATACAATCGTTTTACAAAACGCCTTCTTGCTGCTTCATCCAATTCTTGAGGTCGATTTGTAGCCCCAATTACTAAAATTCTTTCTTCATTTTCGGTGGTGGCGCCATCTAATTGCACTAAAAACTCGGTTTTTATTCTACGCGAACTCTCGTGCTCAGATTCGCTTCTTTGTGACAAAAGTGAGTCAATTTCATCAATAAAAATTACCTACAAAATAAAAAAAGTTTTTTTATTATATTTTAGACAAGACAAGTAGTGAAAATATTATATATATCCATCTTCAAATAATAAATAATGTTAACTTTAATCCAATTTTAAATTCCCCATTAGCGTTAACACATGGAATAAAAGGAAAACATAATTTGGTTATGAAATTTATGTCAAAAAATGGATTCCTGGGTTATTATTCTATGATACCTACAATGTAGGTCCTACATGCAGGTCCTACATACAGGTTGAGAGATGAACATACTTTAAAATGATATTGGAGATAGGTACAGGGTAGGCAAAACATATTTAATTCTGTACAAACCAAGGGCTTTAAAATTTATTGGTTATTCATTCATTTATTTATTATAAAAAATATACCATAAATTTCAATGTTTAAATAATTCTTATGGAATTATTTTCTTATGATTATTAAAAACTAGTTTCATTTTGTTGTACACATTTTTTCTAGAAGCCCAGAATAAGCTGTCAGAGGTGAGTAAAAATTGTGGTCTAGTTTATAGGTACAGAATTTCACCAGTGATACTTTTTAAAATAAAGATTAACTTATTATATAGTTTCTTAAATATATAATGATCCTCTTTGTGATACAGGGTATTAATTGTTTGGGGGGTTACTATCGTAGTTTGTTGAAATATGGAACGAAACAAACGAGCAAAAATTCAAATCTCTATCACTATTAAATCTATCACTCTATGTCTATCACGAAAAGTGTTTATGTATTTTAGGTTAGTGATAGTGCAAATTCTGCCCAGTGTTTTTTGGGAAAATACACAATCCACCTATGGATTGTGAGAAAATATACTTGATACTTTTTATCCGATAGAGATGGCACTTTTTGTAACCTAAACAATCACCCCAAACAATTTTTTTCCCAATTTTTCTTGAAAGTGTTTTTTTAAAGGTTGCTTTTTAGCACGGATTTTTAGGGTTATATGGAACGATGCATAGAAAACATAAACATGTTCCTGCAACTGTCTAACAAAGAAATTATGTCCCAGGTAATATTGAATTGGCCCTGGCAGAGGTGATAAAAAATCGTTTATCCTTTGGGCAGGTGATGTTCTCAAAACCACTTTATAGATCAAATATAGAGAGAAGTATTCTGATTAATTTGTAGGGCCTTCTGCCTTAAGAGAAATCAAAGAAAGGCAAATAACAAGTGAAATGATTACAGATGCGGATAATGGATAATTCTTTTGCAAAACAAGATACAAAAGAGTGCAGTCATATCTAAACCACAAAGTAATAATTATGTACTTGTTTAAAAAAAAACCTTCCTGGCAACGACTGGCTAAAATCTTTCCTGAAGCAAACATTGTGTTGACTCAAAGGAATGCTGAAAATATAAAAAGATCAAGAGCAAAATTTCATGATAATGTAATAAACCAGTATTTTTACAAAAATAAAGTAAATAAGGGATGCTTTGCCACGACCTGGTAATATAGGGAAACAAAATTTTGTGAAAAAAGGAACACTCATTAACTTCTGTAATGTTTGCTGCCACTGGAGGAGAATTTTTACCATTGTATGTTGTCTACCAGGCAAATCTTTTAGATTTTTTTAGCAAATTTATAATTCTTATATTGAAAAATTAAAACCATATGAAAATCAATAAATAAATTTGTATACTTTACAAAATAAATTTTAAAACTTTCAAGCGTATACAAAAATATACGCAAAAATAATATTTTTGCTTATGTTTTTTACCTTTCCTGCTTGTACTATAAATTTTTATTCAAAAGCAAAAATCCTCACATGTTTTCTTATATATTTGTAATAGCTAAAATTTACTTTGTGAAGCATTAACACCTTCAATAAAAATTAAAAATTTGTTTCCTTCATTGTTAATTTTTTTATTAACTTGTTATATTTTAACTAACTAGGTACTTAATTAAGTAGATACTTAAGTATCTTTTAGACTCTTTATTTTTGTTGGTAATTTATAATATGGATTTTTTTAAATTGTAATAATTGTTAATATGCAATATTTTTTCTTTTTAAAATACCTAAAACTTATTTTCATTAGTTAATATTAAAATAAGATTTTTTAGATTTTTATTTATATTGATTTAAAAGTTGTAGTATCTTGTATTTAGAACATTGTTAATATATTGAATATAGGCAATATTTTTTCCTTTCAAAATACCTAAAACTACTTTATTGTAAATTTTTTGTTTAAGCTATTTTGTTATATTTTAATTTGTTTATAGTCCAGTCATCTAGGCATTTTACCTCGGAATCTAACGGAATAAGCTGAATTTTTGTACAAACCTTTATTTTAGGATTGCAAATGTTGTCTCAAAAGTCACATATGCCAACGTGTGAGCGGCCTTAGATATTCAAGGTCAAAGGTCGCAAAAATCAATTTTTTGAGAATATCTCCTTTTCTCTGCCTCCTATCGTATTTGCATTTATTATACAAGTTGTAGAGAATAAAATTCTCTACAAATTTTGTTTAAAACATTTTTTTATAAGTCTAATCGTTTTTGAGATAGAGGGCACAGAGTGTGGAGCGCTCAGCCATACGTACCTTTAGCGCAAGGTAAATCATGAATCCCAATCTATTATACCGTTTTTTTAATTAATTATTTATTAAATATTACTTAAATAACAATTTAATGACTATTTGTTTAAAAAAAATATATAAAAATAAATATAAGGTATTAAATATTACTTACTTTTGACATACAAATAATTAAATAATGAAGTGAATCATTCTAAATATATTCTAATGTTATTCTAATTAATGATAAATGCATTTTAAGAAGAAAAGACATTAAATAAATTTGCCTTGAATATGTCTCTGGTCATCTCTTGGATCCAGATATTGCCTTTAAAATAGCAGACCTGGAAATACTATAGTGGGCTTGCTATAAATTAGGTATACCTATATTTAAAGCAAGTTGTGACCCTAGGTATAGGTCTAGGGTTGTGACAGGTAATATTCGTATTCTAAAGGTTAACATGGCTGATTTGTGTTTTATTTGTAATAAGTTACTTTCTGAAGGTGATTCTGTGACTTTAGTGCGCGGTATACAGACTTTAAAAGAAGCAATTATTAAGAGAAATAAACATAAACTACCTAAATACTTTTACTTCTGTGAACGTGCATATTGGGTGTCGAAAATTGTACGCTATAGCGTACTATAGTAAAATTGCAGCAGCAAAACGTCGCCTTGAAGAGACTGGACCTTCAACGTCATCAACTGTACCTCGTAAAAAAGGGAATGATTTGTTTGATTTTAAAATATTGTGCTTATTTTGTGGTGAAGTCGCAGATGAGGCAGCAAAGGCAAAAAAATCTGCAAAGTACAAACGCGTTATAACTAAGTTTTTAAAGATATGACAATTAATATCAATGATAACGAGGAGAGTGATGATGAGAAATTGCTGGCCAACCTGAAGAAGACGAGGATAAAGAAGATAAAGATTAATAATAATAATAATAATATTGATATAAATAAAAACATTTTCCTACTCCAATCCAATTACCCTTCATTAAAATTAAATTAAAATATAAGATATATATGATGATAAAATATATTTGATTTAAAAGAAATATAAATATAAGTATAAGGTATTAAATTTTTATTTTAGTAATATTTATTATATAATTAATTAAAAAAACGGTATAATAGATTGGGATTCACGATTTACCTTGCACTAAAGGTACGTATGGCTGAGCGCTCCACACTCTGCGCCCTCTATCTCAAAAACAGTTAGACGTATAAAAAATTTTTGTAAACAAAATTTGTAGAGAATTTTATTCTCTACAACTTTTATAATAAATGCAAATACGATAGGAGGCACAGAAAACGAGACATTTTTAAAAAACTGATTTTTGCGACCTTTGACCTTGAATATCTAAGGCCGCTGACACGTTGGCATATGTGACTTTTGAGACAACATTTGTAATGCTAAAATAAAGGTTTTCACAAAAATTCAGCTTATTCCGTTAGATTCCGAGGTTGATCCCTTTTTTTGACTAAGATGTACAGTTGAATTCATTAAAAAAGCGTACAAGAATTAGAATGAGAGAAAACTGTCAACATTATTGCGTAAAACCGGCTTTCCACTGACTTAAGTCACTATAACTGACAGTAGAAAATAAAAATGCCTCGTCAGTTAAAAAGGCTCAAATAGTATCAAGAATCGAAGAATGGTCAATTCGTACTGTGGTATAATAGAAATAAAAAATCTATATTAAAAATTAAGCAACGCTGGGAACAGGAAGATTTACTAAACCAAAAAGTTGGTTCAGGTCGTCCCAAAATGTCCACCCCTGAACAGGATGCTGCTTTTTTGAGATATCTGAGGATTTATGGGAAACTATACTATACCTACTATACTGCTGGGAAGATATTAATCCAAATATTGTATTAAATTTAATTCAGTTCATCCCAAATAGATTGGCTCAAGTAATAGAAAAACAGGGATGCATGACTAAATATTAAATTTTGTTTAATGTTTGTTTTTTCATTATTAAAAGGTAATAATTTTTGTAATATTATTTAATTAACCTACGACGTCAATGCTCTTTATAACCTATAATAATTATTTTAATGACTTATGTCAGTGATAAGCCGGTTTTAAGCAATAATATTATTTTGACAGTTTTCTCTCATTCTAATTCTTGTACGATTTTTTATTGAATACAACTGTACTATAGTACTATTACTTTAAGTATAATATAATACTAAGTATTATTTAGGTTTTTATAAACAAAATCTAATAAGATTTTGTTAATTGGCAATATTTTTTCTTTTCAAATGTGTATTTATTTGTTTTTTTATGCAATAAATTTTTGTAATGTTTTTAAATATTTCTGTCAGTGTAAAATCCTCCCCAAAATTATTCAAAAATCAACGTTTTATAATACAATAATCCCACGTATTTCCAACGTTTTATAATACATAAATCCCATATATATTTCTAACGTTGTCTAAAACACAAATTGCACGTATTTCCAACTTTTT